GTGCGTTGGGTGTGTCCGGCGAGGTTTCGCCACGTTGCCGCCTTGTTGCCGCCTCGTTGCCGCCTCGTGCGCTGGGTGGGTCCGGCGAGGTTTCGCCTCGTTGATTCCCGCTGCCGCCTCATTGCCGCCTCGTTGCCGCCTCGTGCGCTGGGTGAGTTCAGCGAGGTTTCGCCATTTCGCCGCCCGTTGCCGCCCCGTTGCCAGCTCGTTGTCCTCTCGTTGCCGTCTCGTGCGTTGGGTGTGTCCGGCGAGGTTTCGCTACTTTGCCGACCGTTGCCGCTTCGTTGCCGCCTCATTCGTTGGGTGGGTCAGGCGAGTTTTTCGTTGCCGCCCGTTGCCGCCTCGTTGACGCCGCGTTCGCTGGGTGGGTCTGGCGAGGTTTCGCCACGTTCCCACCCGTTGCCGCTTCGTTGCCGCCTCACTCTAGCTCGCACCACGTATGTTGCACCACATCGCTTACACCGCACAGAATGCACCACATTGCTTACACAGTCGCAGTGCAGTAACGCACTGTTGGTGAGCCACGCGGGCTGACATGTGAATTCATAATCGGAGACGCCTACGGCGAATCACCGCCGCCCCCTGCTTTTATTATGTGTCAAAACGTTTGGGCAAAGTCTGGCCACGCCATTGGACTATCCGTTCCCCCAGCCGTTGTGGAAGAACTTCGCGTAACACGTGGGGGAGGAAGAGGAGGATGAGCAGAGGGAGGAACAAGGAGGATGAGGAGAAGGATGAGAAGACCTCTTGAGAGCCTCTTGGGTCATTCTTGGGGCATCCTGGAAGCTTCCTGGGAGCCTCCGTGGGCCTCTTGGGGGCCTTGTGGGGCATCTTGGGGGCCTCTTTGGCTGTCTTACGGCGTTCGTGGCTTTTGGGAGCCTCTCTGGGCCGTCTTGGGGCCCTTCTGGGGCGCGTCGGGGTCGTCTTTCAGGCCATCTTGGGCGTCTCGGAGGCCTCTTGGGCCGTCTTGGGGCCCTTTGGGGGCCGTCCTGGGGCCATCTTGGAGGGCTCGTGGGCGATCTTGGGATATTCCTGGGGCCTCTTAGGCCGTCTTGGGACGTCGGAAGGCCGTTCTGAAGCAAATGCCCAAATCCATCCACCAACGGGTGTTGGCATCTTCAGGCTTTCCTGGAGGACCTCCTGGAGGCCTTTTGGGCCGTCTTCTTGGGCCGTCTTTGGCTCTCTTCGGCTGTATCATTGGCGGTCTTGGAGGCATCTTGGGACCGTCTCGAAGGCCATCTTGGGGCTATCTTGGGTTTTCTTGAGGCCATCTTGGCCGGCTTGGAGATATCTTGGAGGCGATTGAGCCAAGGAAGTTGGGTTTTTCGGCGGCTCCGTGCATCTCTCAGGTTGGCCGGCGGGCTGGGCTGAAGCCCCACGGGGAGTTCTTCAGAAAAGAGCCCCACACCTTCCAGACATTTGGCACGCCGTGCACCCCCGTGACAAGACCACAGGGGGCGGTGGATCGAAGACGCGTACGGCGAATCACCGCCGCCCCCTACCATTTGGAATACGCCTATGTGGCCAAACTTTTGGGCAAAGTCTGGCCACGCTGGTGGAACATGCGTTCCCCCAGCCGTTGTGGAAGAACTTCGGGTAACACGTGGGGGATGAAGAGGAGGATGAGGAGAAGGACGGAGAATGAGGATGAGGAGAAGGATGAGGAGACCTCATGTGAACTTCTTTAGTCATTCTTGGGGCCCCCTGGGAGCTTCCTGCGGCCTCTTGGAGGCCTCCGTGGGCCTTCTTGGGCGGGGGACATTTGGGGGCTTCTTGGGGGCCTCTTTGGCTGTCTTACGGCACGCCGTCAGACGCCGTTTTGGGAGCCTCTCTGGGCCGTCTTGGAGCCCTCTTGGGGTGCTTCGGGGTCGCCTTTAAGGTCATCTTGGGCGTCTTGGAGGCCTCTTGGGCCGTCTTGGGGCCCTTTGGGGGCGGTCTTGGGAGCCTCTTGGGCCGTCTTGGAGGCCTCTTGAGCGATCTTTGGGCAATCCTGGGGGCCTGTTGGGCAGTCGGAAGGTCGTTTTTCCTGACGTGTTTCGCGGGGTTCTGGTTTTCTTCCCTGCCGCGTCGCACCCGCGACGCTCACTCACCTCCCTCTTCCCCTCCTCCCTGTTCCTCTCCTCACCCACACGCAGCACCTGCACGGCACGTGCATGAGACACGCGTCTACGTACAGCCGCACGCATGCACACACTCGCACACACTCGCACACACACGCACACACACACACACAAACACACAAACACACAAACACACAAACACACAAACACACAAACACACACACACACAAACACACAAACACACAAACACACACATATACACACACCAGGCAAAGCTACTGCACGCATGGCGTGTTCACTTCACGACTGCATCATGGGCACACACACACACATGAGGCACACGTCCCGATACGGCCGCACACGCATCATGCACATACGCATTACATACCATATACAAGACGTGCGTGTAGGATTCGCACTGCATGGCAGGAGGGTCTATGCGGGCCATGGCGCAGGGCACGGCAGGCGTGGCACTTTCTCGTCACCAGAGGGGGTGCGCAGAGGGTGGTCTCTGAGCGCGGTCGCTATCCGAGCCGGTCGTCCAGGGCAGAGCAGGCGTGGCACTTTCTCGACACCAGAGAGCGCGCGCAGGGGGTGGTCCCTCAGCGCGGTTTCTATACGCGCCAGTGTCGCAGGGCCTAGCAGGCGTGGCATTTAAGGGTCAAAATGGCCTCCAGGCGGCCAAGATGACCTTCAAGATGCCCACGTGTTCCCGAAGGCTTTCCAAGCCGATTCGGGGAACACATGGTCCGATAGCTTGGCAGGTCTGGCCTCAACGTTCGGCCACATAGGCGCTTCCAAAAAGGCAGGGGGCGGCGGTGATTCGCCGTAGGCGTCTTCGATCGACGGGGGGCGGCGGGTCTAAGGGCCTTCGGCCCGTTCCGCTACTGTGCCTGGGTTTTGGGCTTGAGGCGTACGTATTGGGTGCATGCCATTGTACGTTAGGATTTCTTTCGGGGGCCTCTTGGAGGCGTCCTGAGGGCCTCTCGGGGGCGTCTTTGTGCCTTTTGGGAGCCTCTTGGGGCCTCATGGGGTCCTCTTGGGGGCCTCTTGGGCCTCTTGGGGGCACCTCGTGGGCCTCGGGGAGGCTCTTTAGGCCATCTTGGTGCCGAAGGCTCGAAGTGTCCGTTCGGCCCCCACTCTCGGCCCTTCTTGGGGCCCTCTTGGGCCGTCTTGCCCCTACCTCTTGGGCCGTCTTGCCCCCTACCTGGGCCGGCTTGAGGCCCTTTTTGAGGGCTCTTGGGTCGTCTTGGAGCGATCTCCGGAGCCTCTTGGGCCGTCGTGGAGCACCGGGAAGCCGAAAAGGCGAGAAGGCCAACGTCTTTCAAAGACCTACAGTGTGTCAATCAGTGTTCCTTCCATCTTGGTAACTCTTGGTAAGCCTCTTGGAGGCCTCTTGGGGCGTCGTCGAGGCGTCTTGGGCCGTCTGGAGGTCATCTGGATCGGCTTGGAACGACCTTTCGGCGACTCGAAACCCTCTTTGACCGTCTTGGAAGCCTCCTGGGGCCCACTTGGCCCGTTGGCCCTCTTGGCTCGAGGCAAAAGTCAGGCGACATGACGCGGGTGAGTCCAGGAGGCACGCAGCTCCAGGAGATTTGAGAGCTGGGGGTCCGGGCCCTCTAAAGAGTCCTTACGATTGATGACTATGGCTCAGGGGATGAGGCAAAGGATCTGAGGACACACAAGCTCGTGCCCCAGGGCACGGTGCGGATATGTCCATAGAAACATACAACTGCTCATTTGTTCTGGCCCGGGGGCTATCTTGGGGCTCTCGGGAGCCTCTAGGGGCAGTTCCGGGGGCGTCGTGAAAACGCCTTGACGCCCTCTTGGGCTATCTTGGGGCGGTTAGGCGCTCTCTGGGGTCACTCTGGGGCCATCTGGGCAACGTCCGGGGCCCCCCACCAAGGAGGCCCACTGGGACTCTTGCGGTCCTCTCGGGCGGTCTCGGGGGCCTGCCTTTCGGCCGTCTTGGGCTCTCCAGGTGCCATCTTAATCTTCAGTCGGCCATGTCCCTTTACAGGAGGAATGCTAAAAAATGGTCGAGACTTTTTGGTTTAACTATATTTGATTATGTTTGAGTGCAGTTTGACACTGTTTTATTTTTATTCCAAAATCCGCCTGTAGGATGACATGCCCGACCTAATCTTAAGCTAAAGCGTGTGGGAAGCAAACGTCACGAACGTTGTTTTGAAGTGTTGGTTGGGTCTTCGGTGTAATCATGGGCCCTCTCTGGGTGTTTCTCTCGGGGCCCCTTAGGGCCTCTTTGGTCGCATGGGCATCTTGGAGATCTTCTTGAGCCATCTGGAAGCTATCGTGAGCAAGCCGCCAGGCCGCCCAAGGAGGCTCAGGAGGATAGGGTTGTCATGCAGCTGGATGCTAGAAGAGTGGGACCTTGTAATAATTGCAGGTGTCCAGTCCACATCACTTGCATTAGATAACGCTCCAGAGTTCTATGGGGGGACGGTGGCGTCGTCCTATGAGGGACAACGTGCATATGTGGTGGGTTGTATTCGAAAGTGTGTTCGGCATGCGATCAGGCATCATGAGCCACACCGCATTTAGTATGTTTTCAGCCACCAGCCTTGCGAGCTTGGAACCAGCTTGAGGCACAGTCATTGCCCGTGCGACGTTATACACTTAAATCGCATAGTGAGGATGAGCAACTTTCCAAGGCTATCCTTGCATCCTTGCCCTTTTGGCCCATCCTTATCAGTTTGCTGGCCAGCCCCTTAGGGTACCCTTGGGGCAGCCTTCATCCTTGAACTTCCAAGGCCCTTGCATCCTTACCGCGCATCCTTGTTATGCGTTGCTTGTATGAGCCCCGAAATCTGCCGCACATTACTCGTGCTTTGCGTTTCGAGTTCCACCCTGGTCCATGCTACACTTGTTTGGGCATCTTCGTAGCAAACTCAATCAATATTGAGCTGTTGCGCACCGGCGTTCTTATATGCCTCCTTAAATGCCCCGTTACACACTGGCTGCAGTGGCTTGAAGATCGTGTAGACATGCAAGACCAGAGCCACTATCCACATGCAAAGTGTAAGGCGAACATTACCAGCAGCAATTTGCTCAAAGAGTCCGTGCGTCAGGTTCCATGCTGCGAGAAGCTGGATCTCAGTCTCCTGAGCCTTTGTTTGATGATCCAGCGCCAGAGACGGGCGATTACACTCGAATCTTGGAGCGCTCGCAGGTGAACGGACGGCATGGGGAATTGTGGCTCGGAGACCTTGCGGGTTACGCATGCCTCTATCAGCGAGCGCGACCTCACCTCGGACTCGTTGCAACCATCATTTCTCGGCCGACTTTGGCAAGGAACGGCGCCCGCGCTCTCTTTGAAAATCCAGAGTACCCTGCGGGTATTCAAGAGTTCGTTGAGGTGGATGACAAGGTTTTGAGTAAAACTGATATGATGCAGGCATTGTGGGGAAAGGAGCATGGCATATTGGAACGCATTCATGATGCATTGGAGGGCGGCCAGGACGTGTTCGTTCATTGTGAGCAGGGGGCATCTCGGAGCGCAACCGTTGTGATGGCTTACATCATGAAGTACCGGCAAGACATGTTTGAAAGGTTGCGCTCCCCGCTGCCTGGCCCCTGGGCTAAGCCTTCTGGCTCTATTGGGGCAGTTCGGGGCACATCTTTGGCCGTCATGGGGCCTCCCGGGGGTACGCCAGGGCCCCTGGGCCATCTTCGAGCCATCTTAGGCAATCTCGGGGCTAGCTTTACGCCTCTGGGTTCATCTTGAGGGCGTCTTGGACGACGGGGGCCTTATTGGACCATTCTGGGCGATTCTGGGGCCACCTCGGGGCCGTCTTGGGCAATCTTGGAGGCTCCGGGGGTCGTCTTGAAGCGATCATTCGAAATCTTTGGATTTCAAAACGTGGTGCAAACGTGGTGCAGGCAACAATCATTTCAACACACTTGCTTTTCAATACATCTTGCCCTCCCGACGGCGTATTGCGGCCATTCTGGGCCATGTTGGAAACATATCCGGCCATCTTTTGGCCTTTTTGGGCGTTTGAAGTCGTCTTCGGAGCCTCCTTGGGCTTTTTTTGAAGCCTCTTTGGCCGTTTTGGCAGCGCGGTGACGTCCAATGTGAGTCCTGAAACAACCGCGACCAGCCAGGAATTGAAGACACCCCCCTGGGTGGCGTCTAGTAGAAAGCAGCATGGAGAGGGGACTGGAGAGACAGGATGCAAACGACGAAAGCCAAGACAAAGAACGCAAGACAACAGTCCAGCCGAAGTCCTCATATCCTGGCGACCCCTGCGGGGCCAGCGGAGTGGTAAATATATTTGAGGAGGATGGTGCGAGCTGGAGCCACACAGAAGCAATCACATGTGAAGCAGGCGCTGGCAGCACAAGGCTCAAACAAGCGTTGGCTGGGATGGCAGACAAGGATTTTGCAAAAGCCTTGTTCTACGTTCACAGCAAGCGCCCGCAAATCGCACCGAACACGGCGTTTCTGGAACTTTTGATGGAAAGGGATTCGCTCACACCAGACCCCGAACAGATGGAGCGCATACAGAATTGCTTGGGTAAGCAGAGCTTTTCGGGAGATGCAGAAACGCAGGCGATGTTTGACGTTGCTAAGATTCTTCGCCTGAGGCAGTCTTGGTGACGAGGGGCGATTCTTTTCGTGGCGGGTGTATCATGCTATGAACGGTCAATGTCGCTGGGATGTAGCTTTCCGAGTGGTATACTATTGTCAAAGGCCTTCTCGTTATTTGCATGATGTTTCCATCGTGCCGATGCCTCAATTCACCCGTGAATGAACTCATCTGCTTGCTAAGTTCAGGGGTATCTTGCGCTGTGTCTGGGCTGCGTTGTTCAGCTGATGTATCGCTCATTACATCTACATAATTCTGACGGCAGAAGCTTGCCCGCACAACGTCATTGCCCGTGATCCTTGGCCACGCCTACGTGATGGAGTTGGCAGATCGCAGTTGGGCTTGTGCAATGGTTATTTGGAGGCACGAGGGTGACGGCGACATGATAAGGTTTCCCCCAGTAGCCGTATTGGTCGATGTGTGGTTCGCAATGTTGGGTTATTGGGGTGTTTGTGGATCCACAGCAAGTAAGCGAATGTGGCACGCTTGGGTCATCAAGCGATGGGCGCACGAATCCAGTCCAGAAGATATGTATAGACGTTGCTCTCGAGTTTGTTGCACACTGCGTCGACTAAGCGACGATGGCCCTGTCTGAGCTGTTGGGCACCTCGGCCGACCGTTTCAGGTTGGTCTGGAGCATATTATTTGCGGACAAGTCAATGTGGCGATGGTGAACAGATCGATCTTGCGGCTTCTGTGGTGTCTTGTGTGCAGTACCGTGTCCTTGACTAAGCAAAACTTGTTTGTATTTTCATGGAGCCACGCCCATAGTGAGAAACCTGAGGCAGCAGTGAAGATCGAACACATGCATTGTAATACGAAGACAGATTGTGGCCGGGTCTTCGCAGCAAAAAATAACAATCGCGCATGTCCATGACCATCTCAACGCGGCTGGAACGCAGGGGTAGCGATCCCGACCATTGTCATTGCCGTGGGGTACAGTCAGTTAGCTAGTAGCTTGCGGGCGGACCAACTCGTGTAGAAGGCTAATGATTTCCACCGCTGTCCGCGCGTCTGCCTCAACTTGGGGAGGTCTCGGGGCCGAGTGTAAGTTCAGCGCCGCCGAAGGCTTCGATGCATTCGTGCACCTACCGCTTGATATCGTCTCCCACTTTTGTAGTCCAGTCACTTCGTATTGGCCGTCCTGTTCCCCTAACAGTGCTTGCACTAAGGGGTTTTGACATTTGTCCTTTTAGCAGTTGGACGAACTCGCCGAGGATTTTCCACCTTGCCCTCCCCGTGCCGCCTCGTGGGCGCTCGTGGGTGCCCCGTGCGCTGGGTGTGTCCGCCGAGGTTGCACCACGTGGCCGCCCGTGCCGCCTCGTGGGCACTCGTTGGCGCCCCGTGCGCTGGGTATCTCCGCCGAGGTTGCGCCACGTTGCCGCCCGTGCCGCCTCGTGGTCGCTCGTGGGCGCCCCGTGCGCTGAGCTTACGTCAGGTAGTTGGCACCACATGGCTTGCACGACATAGCTTACCCCACGCAGCCTGCACAACATAGCTTACACACCAGAGTTTGCATCGCATAGCGTTCACTTCCAGCTCAGACCACAGGCATGATATTTCACGACATGTTCATACAATTTAGTTTGCACCGCGCAGAACTTCCATGACATGGCTAGCACCACATAGCTTACGCCGCATAATTCGCACGCCCACAGTGCTCTAACCCCCTGTTTGGGGCCCACGCTGGCTAACATGTGTTCACAACAGTGGGTATCGAACGATCTCGTGTGAACCGTGTGAAGCGTCCCGGTTTGTCTACAGGCTCACCATAGAATGTTCTAAGAACCTTTTGCGGTCTGCACGAGATGTTCTTAGAACATTTCTGGCTGAGACCGTCTTGTTTGTACACAGCGGGCTAATATTCTAAGAACTTCGTTTTTGGTTTTCGAACATGTTGGGGTTCGAAGAAGCTTTCGTGGTAGCCCTAAAGGAATGCTGGGACGGTCAATCCCTGCTCAAATCATTGGCCCCTACTGTGAGTAGGTTTTTTTTGCTGGTCAAATGTTTGACTAGGTGGATTTCGTCTGCGTTGGTTGAAGCTGTGGCTCCAACGCCCGCGCTAGGTACCAAATGCAGTTGTTGGAGCGCTCGCGCTCGGCAGAAACACGGTTCTGGAACGCACGTTGTGGTTCTGCTGGAGCGTTGTCCCTTGTGCCAAATTGAGTCTTGCAGCGCACACTTTTTGCCACATGAGCTGCTGGAACGTTGTCTCTCATGAGAATTGGTCGCTGGAGCGACACCCGTCCAGAGCTCTAGACATGTACGCTGGGGGGGGGGGAGAGGGGCAAGAGACACGGCCAGGGGGCGGGTTGCTAGCATTGTATTCACACCTCGCTCTCAAGCGGGGCCCGTTGCTTCCACGCCCTGTCGAAATGAGTCGTAGCGCCGCGCGTCTGTGTGTGTGCGTGTGGGTGGGTAGGTGGGTGGATTCCGGCGACTAGGTGTGCGCGGGTGCTCGCACGTGCGCGTGCGTGGGCGGGCGCGCGCGCGCGTGCACGTGTCCGCGTGTTGCGCTCGCGAGGAGGACGGAGTTTGGAGGTAATGTATGGTGCATAGGCAGGGCGGAACCAAGACATCTCCACCAAACCGCCCCCGATACACTAACATGCTCGTTGAAGTCTCGCTAGCATTGCGGAAAAACGACACATGGAAAGGAGGCATGTTGTCAAACAGTGTCCGAAAAATCTAAACAAGGTTTTTTGACACATGTTTAAAAACTTGCAAAGCATTTTTGAAACCAATCGTTAAACACACATCTAAAATCCACTGATAGAGCTGTTAGAGTGTCCATTGTCATTGTCATGGCATCCTCAACACTAGCAGCATTCTTCCACTGACTGTAGGCCACGGGGTGGCACAATGCCAGGACGGCCCCCGCCAGTCATGGTGGTTGTGCTACGGTCACCCGTGCTGCCTCTGAGATCCGAGGCAGCGAAGAAGCATGCGACATCGTGAAAAGTCACGCCCGGAGCCCCAGACCCGATCTTTCTGCGCCATTTTTCGAGCCCGATCGATCTGTGAGGGTCCGGGGCCCAGAACTGAGCGAAAACGCTTGGCTCGAAAAAACGTCGGGCTCGAAAAACGTTCGGCTCGAAACAAGGCGAAAGCGTCCGGCTCGAGAAAACTGAGTCGCCAGGATCTCCGGGGCAGGCGGCGCAGGCGCTCCAGGAGAGCTCAGCCTCGACCCGTGGGCGCAACACGGCTGCCCCTCTCGACGTCGGGGCGGGCGGCGCGCCGCCGCGGGCCGGTGGCCGCTGCTACATGCGCAGCCTTGGGGCTGGGCGACGATACAGCAGGGGCCCATGTCAAGAACGGTACAGCATAAGTTTGTCCGCCGTCCGGGGCGCCTGTTCCAGGGCGGCTGGAATCTCGACACCCTCACCTAACACCGTTGAGGTATAAACTTGCCAGCCGCCCTGGGTCAGATGCCCCCGATGGCAGAGCAACCTGCAGTGGGGGCCCGTGCCAAGAAACACCCTACTTGCCTCCAGGTGGCCCTGGGTTTCCTGGATTCCGATGGCTTTGCCACGGAACGCGTGACGCTCCCACACACCAAAAAGGAATGGCCGTCCTATGCAGGGTCTCGGGGCTGGGTTTCTGGTGGAAGGCTTCCTGTGGTCGGGCCCCTCCTGTGTGCGCAGCTTGCGTGAGCTGGGGCGCTGGGCGACGATGTGGTGCCGCAGCGGGCGGGGGTGCCGGCGGCGCCGCACGGGTGTGGCGCCCGGCCGAGCCGCCGAGGCGATCCTCCGAGCGCGCGGTCCGGGAGCCTGGAGGCCCGGGGCCAGGCCCATGGTGTCGCAAGGTCGCTGCGCGCCGGCCGTGCTGTCCCGAGATCCGAGATCCTGGCGACTCCATTTTTTCGTGCCGGTCGTTTTCGCCTTTTCTCGGGCCTCGGGACCCTCACAGATCGATCGGGCTCGAAAAATGGCGCAGAAAGATCGGGTCTGGGTCTCTGGGCGTGATTGTTTACGATGTTGCAACTCTTCCGCTACGTCGGATCTCAGGGTATGCCCACCTGGCGTGCGGGGTGGACTAGTGGGCAACGCGCCGGCTGCTCGCTAGCGGCGGTCTTCCGCCCGCGGTCGCTGGCGCGTTGCGCAGGGTCGTGTCCGACGGCATCGTGACGGAAGCCATCGCGGCGAGAAGTGGAACGGCGAGGTAAAGACGTGTACGCACTGCGGGTGGGCGCGCGAAGACCTGGAGCATCGCTTCTGGCTGTGCCCAGCGTGGGAGGGGCCTCGCCGCGCCGCGCTCGCCGCGGCGCCGCGGTCCGAGCCGTTGCCGATGGACGCCGCGGCCTTGCGGCAGCTGCTGCTGGCGGGGGTCGCGGACACGTGGGTCCTCGCGATGCCCTCGCTGAGGCCGCCGGGAGAGAAGACCCTCAGCTCCCGCTCCAGGCCGCCTCGCTTTTGGAGGCGCCGCGCCGTACGGTTTGGAGCGATGGAGCTTGCTTCCGTCCCACCGATCCGCTTCTGGCGCGCGCGCGGCGTGGGGGCTGCGGTGCGCGGGTCTCGCCGACCCCAATTTCGCCAGATTTGTCGACGGCTTGCAGAAGGCGCAGCGGGCGGAAGTGACAACCGGCGTGGTGGCGTCGCGGGTCGTGGGAGGCCCCGTCGACCCCGCATCGGACAGCTAGTATGTCCTTCGTGCGAACAGATTGCGGATGGCGCCGACGTGCGGGAGTAGAGCCACGCTGACCTCTGGCAGCAGCTTGTTGACGCATGCGAGCTGGGCGGCTTCGGGCCCAGTGGGTGCCCGCGCACAAGACTTCGGCGGAGGCCTTCGAGCTTGGCGTCGGCGAGAGGGGCCGCCTTGGCATCACAGCCGCCAACAGCAATGCCAGAGCGGCGGCCGCGCAACGGGCCCTCCCTGCCGAGGCGGTGCTCGCACACTGCAGGGACCTCGAGATGCTAAGCGCGGCGCAGCGGGCCATGGCCGCCGCCTGCAGGCCGCCCTGCCTGCCGCGCCAGCGCACTGGCGCCACCGCCGCCGCATTTGGAGGGCGGTTCGGCGTTCGGCGCGGGGCCCGATCTCGACGAGCAGCGTCCGTGCACGGCGCCCGTGCTGACGCCGTCCTGGCCGCGGCGGCGCCTGCTTGCGCTGCGGGGGCGTTGCCAACACCGTGGCGACGATGGTGGACGGCGCATGCCCAGGGTGGAGGGGGCGGCTGCCGGCGCGGGGGCAGCCCCTGCCCCTGCTGCATGACGTGTGCTGCGCCAGGGGCAGCGCGTCCGAATCCGCGGCGCTGGCGGCGCAGGCCATCGCGCAGCTCCCCAAGGTGCCCGACTTTTTCGGGCGCGTCCTCTGGGCGCTTGAGTTTGCGCTGATCGTCCAAGCTGGCTCGTCAAAAAATTATCCCGGCAAAGCAACCTAACAGCGATGTGTAGGAGCATGTCTGGAAGCATTCCCCTTAATATTCAGATGAGAACCCAGTTGTAGAATTCTGCTGTTCTCGCAGTCGTAATCGCATTCGCGATGGCAGTCGCAGCGGCAACGGCAGTCGCAGTCACAGCCTCAGCCTCAGGCTGCATCAGCCTCAGCCTCAGCCTGCCTCAGCCTCAGCCAGCCTCAGCCTCAGCCTCAGCCTGCTTCAGCCTGAGCCTCAGTCTGCCTTCAGCCTCGGCCTCAGCCTCAGCCTGCCTCAGCCTCAGCCTGCATCAGCCTCAGCCTCAGCCTCAGCCTGCCTCAGCATCAGCCTGCCTCAGCCTCAGCCTCAGCCTCAGCCTGCCTCAGCCTCAGCCTGCTTCAGCCTCAGCCTCAGTCTGCCTCAGCCTCGGCCTCAGCCTCAGCCTGCCTCAGCCTCAGCCTGCATCAGCCTCAGCCTCAGCCTCAGCCTGCCTCAGCATCAGCCTGCCTCAGCCTCAGCCTCAGCCTCAGCCTGCCTCAGCCTCAGCCTCAGCCTGCTTCAGCCTCAGCCTCAGTCTGCCTGCAGCCTCGGCCTCAGCCTCGGCCTCTCAGCCTCAGCCTGCCTCAGCCTCAGCCTCAGCCTGCCTCAGCCTCAGCCTCAGCCTCAGCCTGCCTTCAGCCTCAGCCTCAGTCTGCCTTCAGCCTCAGCCTCAGCCTCAGCCTGCCTCAGCCTCAGCCTGCATCAGCCTCAGCCTCAGCCTCAGCCTGCCTCAGCATCAGCCTGCCTCAGCCTCAGCCTCAGCCTGCCTCAGCCTCAGCCTCAGCCTGCTTCAGCCTCAGCCTCAGTCTGCCTGCAGCCTCGGCCTCGCAAAGGTTCGCAGTAGGCGCTGCGCAGTTCCTTTGAAAGGAAATCTTCGAAAGCAGGGCTGTAGCCAAGAAGGCTACGGGGACGATGATGATGATGATGAAGATGATGAGTCTTGGAAGTCTGGGAAGTGGAAGAGCACGAAGTGGCGTACAGTTGGCTCCGGGCATTCAAAATGTGGCCCGGGAGTGGAGTTCTGGGAAGTGGAAGAGCGCGAAGTGGCTTACAGTTGGCTCCGGGCATTCACAATGTGGCCCGGGAATGGTGTTCTGGGAAGTCCAAGAGCACGAAGTGGCCTACAGTTGGCTCCGGGCATCCAAGATGTGGCCCGGGCAACAAGTTCTGGGAAGTCGAAGAGCACGAAGTGGCCTACAGTTGGCTCCGGGCATCCAAAATGTGGCCCGGGCATGAAGTTCTGGGAAGTCGAAGAGCGCGAAGTGGCCTACAGTTGGCTCCGGGCATCCAAAATGTACGCCGGGAATGGAGTTCTAGCAGCGCCAAGAGCGATTTTGCGAGGATGTCCCAAGCGATTTGGGCTTCGGCGGCAGCCGCCCCGGGTCCCGCCCCGACCCCCCTGAGGAGTCATGATGCTCTCTTTTGACCCCACTAGAAACCTATCAGTCTTCGCTGTTAGGTAAAATAGGCGGAGCGGTCCTCGATTTTTGTTCAATCAATCAACAGCCGCAGGGTCACCCCGACCCCCACTGAACCTGAGTTTACTACGCCCTCCCATGCGTTTGCCAACCAGCCCTGTCCTTCCCGATATTCTTCTGTATGCGCGTTTACGATCTCGCTTGCAGGGGTGGCCATTGCCATCCTTCGGGTATCGCTTCAGGAAGGCCGTGGCTGCAGGCGGGTGCCGCGGGTCGGGTCGGACAGAGGGACATGCGGGGCGTACGAAAACTCAGCGTGCAGCTGGTTCTGGCCGCCCCTGGCGCCAAGAGGCGCTGGGACGACCAGTTGCACGCAACTGGTTCGGTGACCCACTCTTTGCTTTCCCCTCCTTTCGTCCGACCCGGAAGAATCAGAGGCCTTGAGGTCGGCACTTTCTCCGAGGAAAGATATTCCCCTTCTCGGCGATGGAGGTAGCGCTCGGGCCTCCCATGCGATGTGTCTGAAATATTACCGCCAACGCCCACATTCAGGATCATACCCCCTCATCACACGCCCCCCCTGTCTCGGTGTTGGTGCTCATTTCAAAGCTAAAAAAACAATCTTCGGTGCTCGCTCTATCAAGGCTTTGGCTGTGGGGGCTGCCGCGGGGACCCCCGCGCTCCCCCTCGTGCGTTGCCAGAGGAGTCCATGGTCCAACGACTCCCAAGGAGGCCCCTTTGGCCTCCAGAGCTCCCCATTACGAGGCCTAAAGGGGCCCCAAAGGGATCGCGAGGGAAACTGGGAGCACTGCGCTGTGCAGTGCTGCGTCCTTCAAAAGACGTGGTGTTGCCTTCTTCGAAAAATCAAACTAATCAGACGGAGGCCCTCTCAGATTTCTTGGATCGGCGCTGGACCCCCCTTGGCGGTGCCTCCGGCGCCGCCCCTCGCTCGCTCGCTTCCCGCGCCAGGGGTAGGGGGGGTCCAGCGCCGACCCAGGCCATCCGCGTGGACTCCCGAAACCTTGCGATCATGCTGATTTTTTCCGCCTGACCCTGCAGGGTCAGTTTCGATCCGATCGATCGGATTCGACGTCGAGTCTTGATCGCCCGATCCGGTTCGATTGTGATGTTCCGGCGGCCCGACGCGACCCGATGCTTGCATAGCGTCGTTGTGCAGCTCGGCGCAGCCGATCTAGTTCGATGTCGACCCCGTGCCGATGCGACCCGATCCGATGCACATGTCGATTCGACCCGATTTCCCGATCCGATCTGCGGAATCTACACGTACCCCCTGCCCAAGCCCTGGCCCCTCCTGGGGCCAGGAGCGGTGTACATGCCTCCGTGGCCGAGCCAGGAGGCCGTGTGACCCGCCGCCCTATGAGCCTGCCGTGAGCCTGAGCCACCCCTGGCAACCACCCCGCGACACGCCCTCGGGGGCCGTTGCGCGCCGGCGCCGATGGGCCAGTCCGCGCTGCGGCCCTGCGCCGCTGAGGGCTGCTGCAGGGCAGGCGGCCTCGCCCCTGCCTCTGCCGCCTCCGCCGCCGCCGCCACCGTCGTCGTCGTCGTCGTCGTCGTCGTCGTCGTCGTCGTCGTCGTGGTCGTCGTCGTCGTCGTGGTCGTCGTCGTCGTGGTGGTCGTGGTCGTTCGTGGTCGTGGTCGTGGTCGTCGTGGTCGTCGTCGTCGTCAACGTCGACGTCGACCACGTCGTCGTCGACGTCGCCGCCTCCGTCGCGGTCGTCTTATTAATGGTCGTCGTCGTCGTCGATACCGACGTCGGTGTCGTCGCCATCGATAGATCGGTCGAAGTTCGAAGCTTTGTGAGGTCCTTCTCCATTCTTGGCCTCCGGCGCCTGTCACGGGCCCCGGGGGTCCTCGGGAGTCGATGCGGGGTGAGAAACTGCGCAGGGTGGGTCCCGGGAGGGGTTAAGGGGACAGTCGTCGTCGTAGTTGTTGTCATGGTTTTCGTAGCCGTCGGCGTGGTCGTCGTGGTCGTGACTGAAGCCGTCGTCGTGGTCGTGGTCGTGATCGTCGTCGTCGCGTCGTGGTGGTGGTCGTCGGACAGAGGGGCAGGAGGGCAGCGGCGATGTAGTCGGTGGAGGGGGGATGGCAGGGCGGGTTAAAGAGGAGGAGGAGGAAGAGGAGGAGAAGGAGGAGCAGCAGCAGGAGGAGAAAGAGGAGGAGGAGGAGGAGGAGGAGGAGGAGGAGGAACATGAGGACTTGCAAGAGGAGGAGGAGGAGAAGGAAGAGGAGGAGGAGGGTCGGTGGGGGGAATGAGGGATGCGGTTGAAACGGGTGGGAGGAGGCGAGGGGGGCGAGCAGGAAAGGGAGAAACTGAGAGGCACGAAGGGAGGGGAAGGGGGAAGGGAGGGAGGAGGAGAAAAAGGGTAGGAGGAGGAATGGCTTGGAGGGTGGGAGGGAGGGGGGGTAATGAAAGGGAGGGAGGAGGGGGAGGGGGGGCGAGCGGGGGATGAGAGGAGGTGGAAGGGGAGAGGAGGTCGAAGGGGGAGGAGGAGGATGAGGACGAGGAGGAGGAGGAGGAGGAGGAGGAGGAGGAGGAGGAGGAGGAGGAGGAGGAGCTGCTATTCTGGCCGTTGTGGCCGCCACGCCCTTCCCAAATTTAGCCAGCCGTGCCCGCTGTGGTTGGGATCTGTAGCCAGGCACGCGCGATGGTCACACCGATCAGTGCAAGCTGCGTTTTCTAACACTGTAGTGTTGTCTTGCGTTCGACGGGTCAGGGTCCAGGTTGCGTCCACCATGGTGCTGAGCATTCTGTGGAGCCATTTTGTTGTCAGCTATTTTGGCACAGGCGTTGTTGAATCGGTGCCGGTATTGCGTGGACCTGCGGCCATGCGCTGAGGGCCGCCGCGTTGCCCCGAATGCCGCACGCGGCCAGGCTCTATCAGCGCTGCTTATGCTTCGCCGGCATCGTGGCGTACGTCTTCTTTGGGCTGGTCATCGTGGTTGTCAACAAGAGCATCGTGCGCGATCATGGGCTGCAGATGCCCGCCCTCGTGGCCTCCATGGGCGCCCTGTTCACGGCCACCTTAACCCGTGTGCTCGTGCTGCTCGGCAAGGTGCACGTGCGCCCAGTGGGCAAGCAACCATGGGAGTTCGCTCTGTGGCGGGTGTTGCCTGTCGGCGTCTGCGCGGCGGGCAGCCTGTGCTTCGGCAACATGGCGTACATATTTCTCGACGCTGGTTTCATACAGATGCTTAAGGCGGGGACGCCAGCGTTGTTGTTGCTGGTGCTGGCTTGCCTCAAGGTGGAAGTCGTTTCGGGCAAGTCCGCCGCGCTCGCATTGTGCATGGTGGCAGGCAGTGCGCTGGCGTCGGCGCAGCAGCCGAACGCCACCGTTGTGGGCCTCGCCGTGCAGCTGCTGTCCCAGATCTGCGAGGTGCTGCAGTGCACGGGGATGCAGGTCTTCTTGCAGCAGCTCGGCTTCGATGCCTGGGACGCTGGCTACTACCTCACGCCCGCCGTAGCCGCTTGCTGCCTATTGCCCTCGATCCTGCTTGAATGGCCCCACATCATCGCAGATCAGAAGGTGCAGCTGCTGTTCGACCAGGCACCGAAGCTCGTGCTCAGCGGCTGCGTGGGCGTCGTCGTCAACATGTCCTCGCTGCTGGTGATCAAGCACACGTCCAGCCTGCTGGCCAAGCTGCTGGTCATCTTTCGCAGCGCAGCACTGGTACTGGTCTTCATCCTCGGCGGGGAGGAGTTCACCCTGCTGCAGGTCGCCGGGTACGCCGTGACGATCTGCGCGTTCGTGGGCTACTCCGTGGTGAAGGCCCAGGAGGCGCAGGAGAGGGACTCCCAGCAGGAGGACGCCGCGCCCGACAGCAAGGAGTGCGAGGTGTGCGCTGGGGAGCCGGACTTGGGGCTGGAGGCCGCGCCAGAGGCGGGCGCGAGCAGCCTGCCCCGGGGCATCTCCCACACGTCCAACGAAGGCCTCCTCGACGAGCACCGCGCCGCGGGCGAAGCCCTCGGCGCCACGCCGCCGGACGCAAGCCGGCCGTCCTGGGACGTGACCACCTTCCTCTTCTGGTTCGCCCTGTTCGTGTTCTCCGCGGGGGCCTACCAGGCCCTGGTGGTGCGGCAGCTGCCCTCGAGCGAGCTCGGGCTCCGCGGCCTGGTGCAGGCGCCTCAGGTGGTCCCGCCGTCTCCCCCAGACGTCTGGCGGCTCGATCTGTTCGAGACGTGGTCAGGGCCCTCTGAACTCTTGATCAGGACACTGCCAACCAGGACTTGAGGGATCCCACCTGGCGAGAACGAAGAATGGAGAATGTTTCGACCCACGGCTTCCGTGCTCTTGGGCGCACCCAAGTCCTGCTTGACAGGAGTCCTCGTTTGGAGGGTCCTGACGTGGGCCCCCAGACCTCTCGACCCCTTCCCGGAGGCAGCAGCTTTTCAGCGCATACCATCGCCAGCGGCGCTAGAGCTGTCCGGATCGGGGCGCTTGCTGCTCAGAGCAGTGACCGAAAGCGTTCTTGGGTCCATCCCGAGCCGGTTTCTGCTGGCCCTGGCGGCCCGAAGCGGGCCTCTGGCAGGCCCAACACGGCGACAAAGCTGATCGCCTCGGTTTTTTTCGAGCCGCCGGACGTCACTGATGGGCCTGTTTTCCACCACCACCACCATGAGTTGAAGGGGTGGGGTCCTCCTCCCCCTCTTCTTCTTCCTCCTCCTCATCATGCACCTCCTTCCCCCCCAACTTATGGTGGTGGTGGTGGGACACGAGCCCATCAGTCACCCCAGAGGTTCGGCACCACCCAAACATGCTTCTACGATGCGTGCGTCGGGACCCCAGGGGCGACGCGCGCGCTCAGACATCTCACAGTGTATGCTCGGCGCATGGGCGACGAGATTCCGCAACGGGTGCTTGCACCGAAGGGGTCCTGGCATGTATGTTGAAAGATTTGGCGGAAGGCCCGGCCCGATTTCGGTAGCCGGCTGGGTTCCCTGGTTCCCGGTTCCGGGTTCTCGTGGAACCTTGTGAGCATGTACAAGGAGTCAGCCTTTATTGCATCTGCGGCCAGACATGGCACCTGCCAAACTTTTCGAACCATCCACTGTTTGGGGTTTTTCTCTGGTGTCATACTGCTCAGAGTGTCTTAATAAGCGTCGGGAGGGCGCCACCCCCGCCAACAGCCTCACATCGACACCCGTCGCGGGCAGCCACCGCGCGCTGGAGGCGCTCCGAGCCCCGTCGCGGCGCGACGACGAGGCGAGGTTGACCCCCGTCGGGGGGGTACCCCCCCACGCCCATCCAGAAACCCAAAATATGCAAGCTGTTCCTGCTACATGCTCGGTTCGGACGCGCACCTCCGAGGGGAGCGCACAGTAGCAGCACGCCCCCCTGCGTCCCACAGGCGGGCGACGCAGAAACACACGGAGCCGCCTTCACCGACAGTCGCGCGCAAGCTCCCCGCGCAAGGTCGCGCGTACTTGGGAGCCCTCCGTGTCCGCGCGCGGTGCTGCGCGGGCGGCCGCCCGCGTCAGGTCGCTGAGCCATCTCGCGCAAGATCCGTTTGTGGCCGTTGTCTGATGCATTGCTTGCCGATCGGCGCGGGCCCCTCGCCCCCCCCCCCCCCTGGAGTAGATCGTGGCTGCTTTTGGCGCCTGTTCCAAGCAGGTGGAGTCTCCCCGACAGGACGCGCAGCTGCAGGCAGTCGCGTTAAGCAGAGGTCGGGAGCTAGACCCCCCTCCCCCCCTCCCTTGCGGCCCGCCCAATCCCAGAGACCTGTGTCGTGATTTTTGTTCAATACGGGGTCCCTGGAAGTCTCGACCCATTCCCCAGGACCGGCTTTTCATCCCGAGTCGTTTGTTGACGGCCCCGCGGCCCGGCGAGGGCCCCCAGAGGCCGACCATTGCGAAACACCTCCGCCCTGATCTTTGTCCATGCGTCGGACCTCTGGGATGATGTCGACACGCCGAACAAGAACACGTTTTTTTGTAATCGCCGCTCAGGTGGCCTCCGTCTCCACCGCGGTGCCCCCGGCGCCCGACCTGGCGTCCGCCTCGGGGCTCGGGCGCGGCGAGCCCGCCTCCGCGGCCGCCGCGCTGGGCGGGGCGGTGGGTGCCCCGAGCCTGGCGGGGCCCCCCGTGGTGCAGACGCCCGCCAAGGTCCACGAGCCACGATCGGCGAACTACGACGACGACGACGACGACGACGACGACGACGACGCCGACGCCGACGCCGAATGCCGACGACGACGACGACGACGACGCCGACGCCGACGCCGAATGCCGACGACGCCGACGCCGACGCCGACGCCGACGCCGAGCGGCCTGAGGCGGCTGACTGGGCCGCTGCCGCCGAGCGCGGCGGCCACCTCCGCCGCCTCCACGGCGCAACCTCCGCGCCCTCGCGGTTTGGATTCCGGGTCGCGATCCCGCGGATGCGGTGGGGGCTTTCGTTGAGGACTGCCCAGGAGACTTCAGGCCCTGGAGGATGCCTTCTCTGATGATACGGCGGCGCTGGCATCCATGGCCCGGCCTCCATTGGTGCTCTCCGCAGGCTTTCAGGCCCCGCGTTCCTCACCCCAGGGTTCCTTATCATCGTTTGCGGTCGCACGGGCACGTGAGCGACGCAGAAACAGGGTGTCGTCTTCACCGACATTGGCGCGTAAGCTGCCCGCGTAAGGTCGCTCGTAAGCGCTCCGTTTCCAACGTGGCGTGCCGCGCTGGCGGTCCGCATAAGCCGCGGCGTAAGGTTGCTATGCCATCTTGCGCAAGACCCGTTTCTTTTCGTCGCTCACGCTCCGCGCGGGCCATCCGCTGAGAGACGCCCCGTCTCCGCGGCGCGTCGCGGCCCAGGGGCCGCCTGGCCCGCGAGGCCGTGCATGCGGGCGTGATGATTTCCGCCCACGGCACAGGTGCTGCGCCTGGCCGACGGCCGCTTCCTCGTTCACCGGGGCGGGGAGGTGGCGCTGCAGGCTCGGGGACGACGGTAGGGGGGATATCCTCAGACCTGGGCGTTGCAATGTTTGTCCGCAACGGCTCGTCAGGAAGCGTCGGCAAGCCCGATCGGGCTCGAAAAACGTGGCGCAGACAGACGTGGTCCAGAGCTGCGGACGCCAGACGCGATGTTGCAGGACGCTGTAGTTATCTCAGATCGTCGGATCTCGGGGGGGGGGGGGGCGGCCACGACATCCGTGCGTGGTGTTGCTGCAAGTTACGGCTTCGGGGGCCGGCGTCGTGCCCCTGGGCCCAGACCTTGTGAACGAAGCACGGCGTCGGATGTCTGGGAGGCTCAGGAGGGTTGCGTCGACCCCCAGATTGCCCACTCACTGCCCCGACAGGAGCTCGATGGCCCACCCCGCCCCAGGAGCTTGCGGTCTCACTATCGGGAGCCTACCGCCGATCCACCGGGCTTTACCGCCGAGTCAAGCTCGATGTTCGCCCCCCCCTCCCCACCCCCCGAGCTGGTCCCCCGCCACAGGCCCGGAAGCCCGGCTCGACGTTCTCCTCGTCCTGGGTCGTCTCCTCGCAGGACTTCGGCCTCGTGCACCTGCAGGCTCTCGGCGGCGGGCCGGCGGCCCGGTGGCTGTCGTGCAACCTGAGCCTCACGGCCGCCGCCCAGGACGCGTGCGAGCTGTGGATGACGGCCTCCAGCTGGGAGAGGTGGTCCCCGGCGGAGGACGTCGGCGAGTACGTGCTCAAGAGGCGCAGCACCGGCCTCTTCCTGGAGGCCGACGGGCCGGGCCTGGGGTGGGGCCAGGCGGGATCCACGTTCCGCGTGGCCGACTGGCTGCCCGAGGGGTGCTCGCTGAAGGGCATGGGGCCGTCGCGCTCCAGCTACCTGGAGGCCTCCGGGGAGATCGCCTTCACGATGACCACCTTCTCCCGCGTGTACGCCCGCAGCGCCATGTTCAGGCAGGCCTTGAGCTCCGCGTTCCTGCACCTGAAGGAGCGCGACTTCTATCCGCTCGTGCTGCCGCGCGACCCCGCCTGCAGCGGAGACCCACGCCCAGAAACACCCGGCTTGCCTCCAGGGTGCCCTGGGTCTCTTGGGTTTCGATGGTTTGGCTATGGCATGGGTGACGCTCCCACACCAAAAGTCCGTGGACGTCCTGGGGTCTCAGTGCTGGATTTCTTGTGGAGGGTCTCCTGTGGACTGGCCTCCACTGTACTCGCTCGGGCTGGCGCCTCTGGGGCGGGGTTGGGAGGGCGGTGAGGCGCCCGGGGATCATGACGTTCCAACCTACTTTAGCCTCGACCGCCAGAAAGAATTCCGAGCACCAGGACAGTGCCGAAACGGGAGGGTTTTCAAGTGTCGGGCCCTGGAAGGCGAATGCGGTTACTCGTTTGACACTGTTTCGATATTGTTCGGGGTGCTCGAAATTATTTCTTGGACGTGGTCCTTCAGTACGATGGGAGCAATAGAACCCAGGGAGTAGATTCCACGGAGCATGTCATCCGGGCTGCTGGTTTCGGCACCGGCTTCTGCAAGGAAGGCAACAGCAGACGCACGGGCCGTCTGCTGTAAATCAAGCGTATGATGAGCTCGATGCGGCGATGGGGCTCGGACTGTGTCTTCGTAAGGGGCGCAGCTACCGAACTCACTGGGCAGCTCGCCCCTTGGCCCGCAACAGGCCCGACGACGGGGTGCGAGCAGATATGGGCGCAGCACCATGGCTGATGCGTACCTCGTGGCTGGGCCGAGACGGCGAACGCCGAAGCTCAACAGTCCAAGCTTGTCAATTGCTTGCGTGAGCCGTCAGGACATTCAGCCAGCTTCCAGTATGGCCCAGGACGGCCCCGAAAGGGGCCTACATGTGGTACCCAAGCAGCCCCCCGGGCACCTGGTAGCACCCAGCCAGATACCCCACACTGCCAGCCAGATATACCACCGCCTCACCCCCCTTGCCCCAAACTGCCAGCCAGGTAGTGGTGTTCACCCCAGGTGGTCTTAAACTGCCAGCCAGATATCCACCCTCCCAGGCTTGAAACTGCCAGCCATCTAACGGCCGATCCAGACAGCCTGCTGTCAGTTGTCAGACGTCATTTATCAGTCAGCCATGAG